AGCCAGACACTTCTTCCATGTCAACAAGCTGCCTGGCGATATGTCAACTGAGTGGAAGGCGCAGGTCAAAATCGCGCCGCAGGCTGGGGATGTTGACCCTATTTTGGAATTCGCAGATGCCAACCTTGCGGCGCTCAGCATGAATCGGGAAGCGATCGAAGAGAAGCTCATGGCGCTCTTGCCCAGGGCCGAGCCCGCGCAGTGGTTTGAATAACCCGCTGTCCGTAGCGTGGCGGGGACGCTTCTCCTCCCCTACTCCGCTTTCTTTAGGGACTTGGAACGGCCGGGCCTTATTCCATCATGCGTTTAAGATGCGGAGCAAGGGGATCCGAAACCTCAGCTCTTTCTCGGGCAAGGGCGCGACCTTGGGTGCCCAAGAAACGCGCGGGTCCGTCTCCGAGCTCAGGCGTCCACCTTCCGATCCGAGCCTTCTAATCGTTCGTGCCGCTCGCGCGGTCTGCTGCTGGCGGGGTCGTCGCCTTCCTGCCAGATTTTGATATCGCATATGCTGAGAGCGACAGGCCGAGGATCGAAATCCTTGATCTTGTCTAGGGGCGCGCGTTGAATGTTCGCGTTGTGTGCCCCAACGGAGTTTTGGTTTCTCATTGCAACGTTCATCGCTGCGGACTGTCGCCCCCTCGGCGCGACTTCATCCTAGAATCTATCTCCAGGGGCCTCGCGGAGGTCTCAGCGAACCCCATTTTTTCCTGGGTGGCGACTTCAACATCTCGGACGAGCCCCCCTGCGCCCCTTCGACGCGTTCCGCCCCGAGAGATCTCTGGGGCCCCCCTCGCGGGCCAGCGAGACATGGCAGTCGGTTTTGCAGAACGTGGTTGAGATCCAGATCCAGTTGCAGAACATGGTTGAGATCCAGATCCAGGGCATTACTCATCTTGGTGTCGCACAAGGGCCTTTAGGGAAGCTGGATCGGCTCATTGAGTCATCGCCAGGATTGAGTTGAGCTCAGATGAGCACCGGCGGCAGAATGCACGGCTATCCTGAGGTCATGAGCAGAGCCGAGCTTTCCACCACGCCGCGGCCAGCGCTGCGTCTGCCGCCCGCGCTCCGGAATCGGGCAGGAAGAGAACTGCGCGTCAAGAAATATTTTGTGAACCTGAATGTGCGAAGTTTCTGATTACTGTTCTCGAAAAGGTGGGCGATTCCGACCTTGCCCCTGACTCGAGCTCGCCTTCCCGAGGGCATCATGCGGGCGGCTGCCAAATTCGCTCGGGATTCGATCCTCCGCGGGAAGCCTGAAGACCCCCTTTCTCGTTGCATCGCCGTCCGGACCATCGCCAGGGCCCTCTGGAATCGTGATATCCACCTCGCCGCGAAGATTTAGGTACCCCCGCCCGCGTGGCCGTCAGTTCATCATCATTGACGAGCGCGCCCAGACGGTCGAGATTAGCGACCCCGTGCTCTCTGGGGCCCATGCCGACGAGGCTCGCTCCGCCATGTTTCGAGCAGCCCAGTCCGAGGCTCGGCGGCGCCTCCAACAGGATGCACCCGATTTCCAGAAAGTCAAAATTCGCAGACGATTTCGCAGCCTCCGGGTTCGTTCTCGACTCTGGTCCCCTTTTGAACTTGAAATTGCCGCTCCATGGGGGTTCGCTTTTCGACCGACGACGACCGCGCCTCCGCGGTCCACGCAGATCCCGTCGGGATGCGCGCCAGTCTCGCTGACTTCAGGGGCCAGGTTTTTGCCGAGAAGGAGGTGGGCCGTTCTGCCGCCGAGCACTGCGCCGCCAGGTGCAAGCCCGAGGTGGGCCGGTCGGGCTTGCCGCCCCCCGAGGAGAAGGATATGGGGGGATATCTGCAGCGGGTCCCCCCGGGCGCTCCAGGTCCCGACCAGTTGCCTTATCTGGCTGGGAAAAATCACCCGAAGGCCCAGCTGTTCTGCGCGGCGCGTTCTCGTGGGCGTCGGGCGGCGAATCTTCTCCGCGCGGTTTCAAACCGTTGCCGGGGGCTTCCGCGGCCATGGGGGGCGAGCCGAGGGCGACAATCGAGTGATCCGCGAGGCCTCAGGGGCGCGCGCCCTGGGATTGAAGAACATTGGCTGCGAGATCCTGAACGCAGTATGCATCGTGCCCCTTTCAAAACAGCTCTTGACCGTCATCGCGAGGCCCCGGCGGGGCATCGTTCCGTCCAGGAATTTCGGAAAGGGCATCGTTGAACTCGACGCCCAGGCGCGGGTCGGATACCTGCCCTGGTCGCGTTCGACTGCGGTCAGGCATGTCGCTCGATCGCCCAGCGCTGGACATTCGTGGTCCAAAGCGCGCTGCACTTGCCGCCTCCGCTCCTGGCCTTTCCCCCGCATGATCTATGACAACGTGATGTGCTGCGAACATATAGGGCACGTCTGCCCATGCATGTGCACAATGCTCTCGGGGGTGGTTCAAGGATGCCCAGCAAGTGGATGTCTCTACGGGATCGCCTCCCACCCGTCCGTAGTTCACTTCGAGACGTTGGTCGAAAAGCGTGGTCTTGGGTTGAGCAGACT